CATCCGGTCTAAATTTACCGGAGGAGGAAGATACCGCCCTTCCAAGACTTGGACGAGGAGGAAGGCCGAATTACAACTTCGTAAGATTCGGTCGTGGTGGAAAGAACGACAACTTTGTTAGATTCGGTCGGGGTGGCAAACAGGATAACTTCATACGGTTCGGTCGCGACAGGTCCGACAACTTCGTACGACTTGGACGAACAAGAGCGGACAATTTCATAAGATTCGGGCGTGGAAAACAGGAAAATTTCATCCGCTTTGGGCGAGACAAACAAGGCAATTTCATTCGGTTCGGCAGAGGAATGAAAAATAGCGATGATAACGACGAAACTTTCAGACTTGAGGACACGGACGTAAACCCCGAAAACGAATTCTCCGCCAGCAGTAATTTGAGGGTTGGGCGTAGCGGGAAGTCGGAGGGCGACTTCATTCGTTTCGGCAGAGCCCGACCCAGCAATTTCATTCGGTTAGGTCGTGGAGACGATGATCTTAGACAACCGAAAGAAGGGGGTACAGGGAGGAGCGAGATCGCGAGATACGGTCGGCAAACATACGACGATAACTTCGTAAGGCTTGGTAGATCACCAGGCAACAACGACGCCATGCGACGAGGCAAACTGACAGACAGAAATTTCATTCGCTTAGGAAGATCCGGGCCACAGAACGACTATGCCAGAGAATGGGAGAATTCGGAAATGTCAGGCCGATCTGACAACCCACCTACCAACAACAACTTTATACGCCTGGGGAAAAGGGCGAAAGGCGGGGACGAACGCGAAAATTTTGTACGTCCTGGACGCGATGCCGAACAAACACCGGGCACTGAAAACAAGACCGTCAAACACACTCGAAACAGGCGATCAGCGACATTTTCTGGCGGCGATGAAAACCCAGAAGACTCCTCCGACTGTCCCGTCGTTACTTCTAACAGCGCAAGCGACGACGACAAGATAGCATCGGCCTTTGAGTATTCGCAGATACCATTTCAGTACTACTCCCCTCTCGCGTCGGGGATACCAAATTACATTCTGGGCCCTTTAGGTAACGAGGATGCGGCGAAAGGGAGGAAGGGGGGTGGGTTGCAAAAGAGACACTACATACGGCTGGGCTGAACCACCCTGTATTAGTGCAGCAAATTTAACAGATTAACTTCATTGCTGCTGTACTGTCCATGATGATGTTTCTTGCATGCAACACATAAAATTGCTAAACGATGTAAAATCATGGAGAAATATAAAACATAAAATAAATAATTTATTTTTAAGTGTGTGTAATATGTTGTTGTTCGTAAAGTATATCAGTGGCAAAATGACTTCACACTTAAACATTGCTGTACGCGGCTGAACGCTGGAAATCATTAGCACAAAAATTTGCACAGAAGCCGGAGGTTCTAATGAGGAAACAGCACAGAACAGAAAGGAGTCGGAGTAACTTTGTAAGATCACGTCGCACTGCTGGTGACTGCCGTTCTGGGGCGCAGCAGGGACATACCGACTTTTGCCATACGTTCAAGCAGTGGCGAGTAGTGAGTCGTAACTTGGACAACTCCCTCTCTCTCTCGATCCATCATTAGCATATAAATCGTTTACTTTACAAGCTTATGACGTCTCTTCAGACAGGCATTTAACATAACAATTAGTGCCATTGCAATGTATGTAAAATAAAAATGTACATTTACGAATATCAATAAATGTTATCGTCACCTACATTCCAAAAACATAGAAAACGGGCCACTATCCGGGTTTTCTTACGAGTAATTATTTTCTGCTGCTAATCATGTGGATTTCAATTAAATGATGAATGAATCATCTATCGTTCAGGTTTGCATTTGGGGGAGATAGAAACTCGCTTCAAATACAAAGCTGGTAAGTTCTTCGCTATAAAATGGAAGATTACTAAGAGGCAAAGGAGTCCCCACACTGCGCGTCGCTTCAAACAAAGGCGGTAACATCTTTACTGCTCCAGCGCTCTGATGTCTACAGCGGACCTCAAGTCAGTGCTCGATCTGAGCTCACCCCGCTCTTTGCTAACCCAACCTCCAGTTAACTGTAAGAAGGACACATCTGCTGCCTTTTTGCAGATTCCCACAAAGCACGACAAAGAAATCACAGTCGCTAGAAGATCAGGCGAGGTGACGGGGTGACACTACATAACCTGAACACGTCAGACTATAACAGGTTTTGTGACTGACATAAAGCACGCCCGACTTTACTCGCGAAAATTTACCGTTCACTCACTTCACAGGTACATTGCGGACAGTATTAATGAAACGTGGACAGGGGTCTGGTGATTCAAAAGCCATTCACATAGATGATGTTATCTGCCGACAAAACTACAAACTTCGTTTCACTTTTTCGATACTGTTTGGCGGACCGCCATGTTAGTGTTCGTTTCATTTCATTTTCCCATATATTACAGGAATATCCCGGAAATATAATAATGACGAGGACTGGTCTGTGCTTAAAAATCGCTTTTTGTGTAAAACGCTGTTTCCCGCCTGCAAAACCACAGGGAATCATAACCCAAAAGACCACACAATATCGACTTTAAGTTGCTTGGAAGGCCTAGGCGCAAGTGGGAGGAGTATAATATTAAAACGGATCTTAAGGAAATTCGGGTGGAGTGTGGAGACTGATTCAAGAGGTTCTGGATAGGGACCGGTGGCGACTTTTATAAAAACAGCAATGAACCTTTTGGTTCCATAAACGGAGGACAATTTATTAAGTAGCTGAGTGTACTGGTAGCTTCTAAGAAGAGCATTGATCCACGGAGTTTGTTGGCGTTACAGTGACGTACAATGGACGGGTTTTCGTGGTTTAATAAACGAATAAGCCAACTGCACAAGCCTTACGGCGTTCTGGACCGAGCTCAGATTTGTCCGTATTATTATTGCAATCGGGCGGCTACACTATGCCGTTTCTCCTGTCAAGACAAGGGGAGTGAGGGCATGAATTGGATTAAACTGGCTGAGGACAGGGTCCAGGGAAGGGATCTTGTGAAAAAGGCAATAAAACTGCCCATAAAAGGGATAAGTCCCTTGACAGTGGAGTTGGTCGGCATCTCGAAAGAGTTAGAATGGGCTGTCACTGTTTATATCCTGTTTACAAGAACAGTTACTGCATTTGTGCCCCATCCATCCATACACTCACGTCAAAAGTTACAAGTCAGCAGCAACCATAAATCGTTGCGTAATAATGACCGCCATAAAACCAACATAAGGTTTCTCCTCAGAAGCCGCTGTAATGGGATTTGTAACACAAGTAAAGTCAGTTTCACTTACACCTGAAACGGTTCAACGTACGCCAAATTGCGCAGTCTTACAGAGAAGTGGTCACCACCTCAAAACGAGTTGAATCTCAACAGACATCAAAGATGGTGGACTGCTAAGAAAACTATCAATCATCAGGGCAATGATCGCACTGATGATGAAGCCGGCAAGCCGCTCTGAAACGTCGACAAAATTCTACGCAGTAAGGACCCAAAATCTCCAGATCAGACGTCTGCAAAACCACGGAAATTCTATGAATCATAAGATCAAACACTGGCAATAAAGATTTGGTTGCTTTCATAACAGATCTTTGCGTATTCTGGAAAAAAGAAAAACACATGACTCCCATTAACGTTCTTAAGAACTGACAACGTAACAGCCCACTAATACAAAACGCACTACGTTTATTTATGCCGAGTGTACCTTGAACGCAGTCCATGTAAGAGTTCAGCGCAGAATTAAAAGCAAGATTTCAGTATCCCTGCTAATGCAGTTACACTCGTTTTATCTGACCGGAGGAGGGGTTAACGGTAAAGAGGCAACCAGCAAGCTGATGGCGACACTACGGGAAGGGCCATCGGACTGACAGGTCTACAGGTCTCTCCTGGCGCGGAGTGATATCAGCGACCACTAACAACGAGTGACAGTAAGGACACACGCTTTCTCGGCTTGAAGTTAGTTCCTTGTAGGCACCATCGACTCCTTAATAAACACTTCTCCTTGTTACACGGCTCGTATCGGATGCGACAGTTCACAGACTCGACATAAAAAAATAATAAATTCACGAAGAAATTTAGAACAGATAAAATTCGGAAAATGTTTGCTGAATATTAAAATATAAACTAGTTACACTTCTTCCATGAGGGTGAAACTTTTTCTGTCACCACTG